GACCTTCTTCTGAATTTGTACCCCCTGGGGTGCGAGTGTGATGTCATCTATGCTAAACAGTAGATGGAAAGGAGTGCATCTTCTTTTCTCTGCCATCCAAATTCATATCCTTCCCCCTGCACACAACTGATGATTTGATACTTAGAAAAGAAATGGTAGATACTTCATGTTTCTACTCCAATGTAATGTGTTGTTTGCCCCAAGAGACCCAACCATGAGCCAGGAAGTCTCTGCTTCAAATTTCACATTTGCCATAAATTTATTTGCTAGATTTTTTAAGTGTCTCAGCCTCCTTCTGACATATAAGGATAATGATAGCAATATTAATACTGACAATAACGATAACGCTAATCTTTTGTAAGGATTACTGAGACAGTTTATGGTGATGTGCTTTAAACAGTCTAAATATTTGCTGTTGCTATTATTATAATGGCTAATTATATTAGGGCCAAGGCCAACATAAATCTCAACGAGAGCAGACTCAGTGGGGCTTGTTGGTCAGAAGTGACATGCAGTTTCACTGATTTCAACAGAGCTGCTCTAGCTGAGATTCATGTCAGGTTTAGCCCTTCATCTCCAGGATTTCCACAATGAAAGTCAACAATGTGATGAAGAATAATAAGATGAGTGCATAGTGCATACCAATATAGCAAAAAACAAAACAGAAGTGCTGTTGCAATCTAGAAGTACACGTTGCCATCAGGTCTGTTGCGATCATCCCATTTTCTTCACAGCTACCAAGCCCATCTCTGATCACAAGGCTCTAAGGTAAAACTGTCAATTCACACACATAATTCCTCTGCCATCTTTTTTCACCTTTATATTTAATATTTCCCCCCCCCCCTCTCTCTCTCCTCATCTCTGGCCAGGCCTGGTATCTGGTTTCTGTCTTCTGAGGAATTTTTACAGCAGAGCACTAAAACAACGTAAGCCATAAATCACTGCATGTAAATATAACATACATATAAGAGCCAATCAATATTTAGTATGAAACTGATATTTCATTCAACTTTTCATTCTGTTTCCATATGACTGACAAAGTGGACATGTCCACAAAAGTTCACATTAAAATATAATAGCTACCCTCTAACGTGCCACATGTTTTTGTCTTGTTTTGTTTCTTTGGATTTTGCCTGATATTCATTATAGTAGTAGGTGTTGAGGAATGTACCTCTTTCCCCTCATTCAAACCTATCTGAACTTACTACCCAATGGCACCCATTGTATCCATCTTCTTCCCAATTTGTACCTGTTGTATAGGTACAAATTGGGAAGACGACGGATGGGAGATGGACCTTCTTCTGAATTTGTACCCCCTGGGGTGCGAGTGTGATGTCATCTATGCTAAACAGTAGATGGAAAGGAGTGCATCTTCTTTTCTCTGCCATCCAAATTCATATCCTTCCCCCTGCACACAACTGATGATTTGATACTTAGAAAAGAAATGGTAGATACTTCATGTTTCTACTCCAATGTAACATGTAGTTTGCCCCAAGAGACCCAACCATGAGCCAGGAAGTCTCTGCTTCAAATTTCACATTTGCCATAAATTTATTTGCTAGATTTTTTAAGTGTCTCAGCCTCCTTCTGACATATAAGGATAATGATAGCAATATTAATACTGACAATAACGATAACGCTAATCTTTTGTAAGGATTACTGAGACAGTTTATGGTGATGTGCTTTAAACAGTCTAAATATTTGCTGTTGCTATTATTATAATGGCTAATTATATTAGGGCCAAGGCCAACATAAATCTCAACGAGAGCAGACTCAGTGGGGCTTGTTGGTCAGAAGTGACATGCAGTTTCACTGATTTCAACAGAGCTGCTCTAGCTGAGATTCATGTCAGGTTTAGCCCTTCATCTCCAGGATTTCCACAATGAAAGTCAACAATGTGATGAAGAATAATAAGATGAGTGCATAGTGCATACCAATATAGCAAAAAACAAAACAGAAGTGCTGTTGCAATCTAGAAGTACACGTTGCCATCAGGTCTGTTGCGATCATCCCCCCAATATCCTAGATGCAGCATGCACCTTTGACTGCTGACACAGTCAAGTAAGCTGTGCTTACACAATATATGTTTGTTTGTTTGTTTACTTTTAGTGGGTAGAGTCAATTCACAGCTTAAAGAGGTATGTTTGTTGATTGCACTGCAAAGGCAGGAGGACATCAGATTTAGTAATCTAGCGACAGGGGGCCAACCCCTGTTGAATGCACCCTGAATTTTTAGCACACAAAACTAAATACCAGGAGAATACAGAAATGACACATTTTGGAACACATTAAATGCGAGCACAAAAGGAACACATCAAGTCCAATCCTTTTCCATGGAAGAGTCAATCATAAACTTAAATCTCTCCCAGTGAAATAAGTTGATTTTAACACATGTTGCGTTATTAGTTAATTTATAAAATTCCATAGCACTTAAGAGTTGTAGAAAAGGTCTTAACTTTGGCTGGATTGCACCCATGGAGTCTACAGCCATCCATCAAGAAGAATGATCTTCATGTGCTAGCGCTTAATCAAAACAGGTGCCAGCATTGGGGTCTAGAACTAGCCCCAAATAATCATATAAACAACACCTTTAAATTATATAATCTTGACCAATTCTGTTAGAGGATTGGAGCTGTTATTTTAGTTTTTCACAAACATGTTTGTCATTTGAATATATTTTAATCAATGCAGCCAAAATCAGAGGGAACCGTCTATCAGGCAAATACTTATCTGTTAATTGTATAAAAGATTTGTGGGATGTACTTGACTTGCATTACCATAATTATAGACTCTCATGCTGTCATTGCTAGTGAAAAAAACAAGATAAGGTGGAGCAACAGGCATTAAGACATGTAGGCAGGTTTGTCAGAGAAGGAGGGGAGTGACTGTCATCATTCATATTATCATTTTTAAAAGTTGAGGGGGCTACACACACTACAAAATGCAAGAATTATAAAATAAGGGATTGAGTTTAGTGGGAGTTTGCATAGAAAATCTCAACGAGAGCAGACTCAGTGGGGCTTGTTGGTCAGAAGTGACATGCAGTTTCACTGATTTCAACAGAGCTGCTCTAGCTGAGATTCATGTCAGGTTTAGCCCTTCATCTCCAGGATTTCCACAATGAAAGCCAACAGTGTGATGAAGAATAATAAGATGAGTGCATGGTGGATACAAATATAGCAAAAAACAAAACAGAAATGCTGTTGCAATCTGGAAGTACACGTTGCCATCAGGCCTGTTGGCTTGTCTGCAGAGTCAAATGCAAGGGAAACCAGTTCTGTGGTTTATTGCCTAATATGGATCGGATAGCATCTTTGACCGATCATCCACCCAATATCCTAGATGCAGCATGCACCTTTGACTGCTGACACATTCAAGTAAGCTGTGCTTACACAATATATGTTTGTTTGTTTGTTTACTTTTAGTGGGTAGAGTCAATTCACAGCTTAAAGAGGTATGTTTGTTGATTGCACTGCAAAGGCAGGAGGACATCAGATTTAGTAATCTAGCGACAGGGGGCCAACCCCTGTTGAATGCACCCTGAATTTTTAGCACACAAAACTAAAGGAGAATACAGAAACGACACATTTAGGAACATATTAAATGTGAGCATAAAAGGAACACATCAAGTCTCATCCTTTTCCATGGAAGAGTTAATCATAAACTTAAATCTCTCCCAGTGAAATAAGTTGATTTTAACACATGTTGCGTTATTAGTTAATTTATAAAATTCCATAGCACTTAAGAGTTGTAGAAAAGGTCTTAACTTTGGCTGGATTGCACCCATGGAGTCTACAGCCATCCATCAAGAAGAATGATCTTCATGTGCTAGCACTTAATCAAAACAGGTGTCAGCATTGGGGTCCAGAACTAGCCCCAAATAATCATATAAACAACACCTTTAAATTATATAATCTTGACCAATTCTGTTAGAGGATTGGGGTTATATGTTTGTTTGTTTGTTTACTTTTAGTGGGTAGAGTCAATTCACAACTTAAAGAGGTATGTTTGTTGATTGCAGTGCAAAGGCAGGAGGACATCAGATTTAGTAATCTAGGGACAGGGGGCCGACCCCTGTTGAATGCACCCTGAATTTTTAGCACACAAAACTAAATACCAGGAGAATACAGAAATGACACATTTTGGAACACATTAAATGCGAGCACAAAAGGAACACATCAAGTCCAATCCTTTTCCATGGAAGAGTCAATCATAAACTTAAATCTCTCCCAGTGAAATAAGTTGATTTTAACACATGTTGCGTTATTAGTTAATTTATAAAATTCCATAGCACTTAAGAGTTGTAGAAAAGGTCTTAACTTTGGCTGGATTGCACCCATGGAGTCTACAGCCATCCATCAAGAAGAATGATCTTCATGTGCTAGCGCTTAATCAAAACAGGTGCCAGCATTGGGGTCTAGAACTAGCCCCAAATAATCATATAAACAACACCTTTAAATTATATAATCTTGACCAATTCTGTTAGAGGATTGGAGCTGTTATTTTAGTTTTTCACAAACATGTTTGTCATTTGAATATATTTTAATCAATGCAGCCAAAATCAGAGGGAATCATGTATCAGGCAATTACTTATCTGTTAATTGTATAAAAGATTTGTGGGATGTACTTGACTTGCATTACCATAATTATAGACTCTCATGCTGTCATTGCTAGTGAAAAAAACAAGATAAGATGGAGCAACAGGCGTTAAGACGTGTAGGCAGGTTTGTCAGAGAAGGAGGGGAGTGACTGTCATCATTCATATTATCATTTTTAAAAGTTGAGGGGGCTACACACACTACAAAATGCAAGAATTATAAAATAAGGGATTGAGTTTAGTGGGAGTTTGCATAGAGATGGTAAAAACTGTGGAACAATGCACTTGCAGGGATCTCTGAAGCTTGGTTATTGTTTCCTGTGGGGTTTTGATGTCAATGCAAAATGAGATGGGGTAGAGTTTGAAACAGGGTGGGGGAATTATGCTTTCAAGACCACCTCATCTCATCTGGGTGTGGAACAATGATCTTACAGCCTCATGACTGAAAGAAAAAAACAGACATCTGCAGTTTGAGAGAGATACAAACACTTCTTTTAAAAAACAACAACAAGGAAATAGAATCCATACACATCGAACAAGGGTGGGGTAGGTGCAACTCTCCTTTCAGAATTCCTTACTGTCGTCTCCTCCAGTTAGGGCTAATAGCATTAGGAGGGCTGCACTTTGGCCAGCCCTCAGTTTAATATAACGAACACCCACAGACAGCTTGAAGGCAGCATGCACAGACCAAAAGGCAACAGTGAAGAATGAAACCCAGATTACAAGTTGGAATCTCAAGTATCTCTGATGTGAGTGGAGATTGTGCAAGGCTGCAGGTGAACAGCAAGAGTGCCTTTTTCTTGAGGCCTAAGGACTGTTGTCCTGATTTTATTGCTGACCCTTTGCGTTGTATAGAACTTGGAAACCTGAATTTTGGAACTGCAACTACCAGAATCGCCAGCCAGCACGGCCACTAGTTGTGTTATGCTGGGAGTTGTAGTATACAAAACCTATTCTTCCAAGCTTTGCATTTTATCTGGTGCTGCTATGATTATGATCATGATTATTAGTTTTATTTTAATAGTTTTATTGCACGCTGCCTTATGAAGGATTTTCCTAAAACATTGAGTAGAAATAAAATAATACTAGCATTGATAAGTAATACTGCAGTTCAAGAACACCTGGGTTACCTAAGGTTGAGAACCGCTGTCCTAGCAGAAGTTTCTTGTATTTTTTGTTGTTGTTATATTTGAACGCATTTTCTTCTGGAAACAATCAGAGAACAGTCTTCTCTGAAACATCATAACCAAAAGAAATTCTCACATTCATGGCAATGGACTTCACATCAAGTATTCTCATGACAGGTATTGGCATGCAGCTTCTGAACATTCATCATTATAGGCAGGCAGGGTTTTTTTCTGCTCATCATGAATTAGTTTTCTGTGAAAAGCTTGACTCCCGTTTTCAAGATGACAAAATTATTTGGTTGCATTGATAAAGTAGAGGAGGAAATGACTTACTTGCCATTGTTGAAGATGACAGTACAGTTGGGCCAACAGTCATGATTCACCAAACAAAGGTTAGGGAAGATGCCAACACCAACAGCTTGCAGCCCCCTTTGATCACTCAGAGTGAAACCGTTGCAGTTGATCTGCTCCCACAGAAACAGAAGAGTAAGACAGAGTAGGGTAACATGGTTTTGTATCCCTTATAACTCAACATCTCTCTCAGAACTTGGAAAAGTTACTTTTTTTGGAACACATCTCCCAGAATCTCCAAGCCAACATGGCCAGAGTTCTGTTTATGGAGTGCCCCAAGCATTGCTCTAACACGGTATCCCTATTCAGACATTACTTCCCATGTTCAGGCACTACTTATCACTAGGGGAAAGATTTCTATGACATTTCACATTTTCTCTGCAAACTACCTTTGAGCCCATAAGCAAGTTCAAACATGTATATGAGTAATCTGTCCTTTCTCACCAGATTACTCATAAACATATTCAAACCCACCCATAAGCTCAAATATAGGTTGCAGAATAAAAATGACATGTCACAGAAATCCTCTCCCTTACTCATCCCTATTCAGGCATTACTCATCACTCACCAAAACGAGAGGAGAGGAATATACTAGGCTCAGCCTCTCTGTCATTACTTTCCTCACATGGAAAGCAGCAAGTCTGAAGAGGACAAGCTACTGTGAGGATGAATTTTCTATCATGTTCTTATACGCCAGTGTTTCATGGTTCTTGCTTGTATGAAAATCCACTATGGTTGTAGGTAGGACTAAGGGTGTGTGGCTAGTGTGCTCCCTTCCTTGTATGTTAGCAAAACAGGGTGAGTGATTCCTGAAGAGGGATTGTCTGTCTGCATGGGTATAAGTGCATGGAATTCCCCTTGCACTCTACCCAGTTATCTGGGCTTATTTGAAACTGGGAAGGAGTTTCCAATTCTTCAGCCAACGAGGTATGTACCCTCTCTCTCTCCCCCCCCCCCATCTTTCTTTGCACAGCCAACCATCATAATTAGCTTTTCCTTCAATCTCCCAGGCCTAGATCACTAATCTGACATACCACACCAAGGATGTGAGAGATAAACTGCATGCCAAACTGCTTGCTCCCTGTTGGCCAGAACTCCAGGAAACTTTCCACGTCAATCCTCATCTCCTTCTTCTCTTCCTCTCCAAAATGTTCCACGTGGTTCTGCAGGCTGTCAATTGAGACCAAGCATCCCTCTGTCAGGCCTCCTCCTTCTCTCTCTATTCTCCACATGATTCGAGCAGCCAACCTAGAAAGCCAAAAAATGCATGTTTTACCACTGGGTCTTAAGCAGTATCAGTCATGCCACCTGGTTGCATCTCTGTGGATGTGATCAGGTGGCTGCAAAGGCATGTGCCTGATTGCATCAGAAAGCGTCCCTTGAACAGGATTGCTCTCCCTTGAAATGACCCTTCCCTGCTGGGAAATCACTCAAGCCAACCCTTAACAGCAGAAGCCCTCCTGCTGGATGAAACAGATTCAACCTGGACAGAAACCCCAACAGTGATCTGTTTCCCCATGGGATCACTCTCTCAAATCTGAAGAGTGGAATATTAATGGTCTTAATAGAGCTTTATTAGTTGGGAGGGTCAGTGTTAAAAAAATTTAATGAGAAATTGACAGGTATAAGTTTTATATTAATGCTGCTACATTTCTTTTTTGGGGAATTTCTCTAGGTGCCAAAAATTCAGGCCTGTCCTTGGTAACCAAGCCAACAATTATAGCTTCAGGCCATTTGTTTCCCAACCCACACCGTACTCGTGGCTGCTCAGTTGGAGGCAAACAGCTTTGCCCATGAGCAGAGACATTCCACCAACTTCTTCCTCATGGAAGGAAGGAGGACACTTAAGCTGCTACTTCAAGTGGTGGCTGAATGAGCCTCCCCATCCCTGCCCCTCTCTCTGGTGGGACAAAAAAAAATAGGGGCTTGTGGGACACTCCAGTAGTAAAAGCAACTCATCCGAATCCCTGTACAACCCAAGAGGAGAGGTACACTCTCAAAATTTCTTGCAACATTGCAGCACACACCGGTGTGGCATCTTTCTTTTCTGCATGGACAGATGAGAGTCACCTTTGGGGCTGTAGAGTGCTGAGGATGACCAGTGGTGTTGTGGTAAATTTGGAATTACAAGGCCTCATCATGAGAGCCCCTAGAGTCATCCCCCATATGACAAGTCAAAAACATGCAAACAGCTCAGTCAGTCCATATCAACAGATGAGGAGTGGGTCTTTTGTAAAGCTAATGTCTCTTCATTACTAATTTTAATTACCAGAACACTCAAATACTTTGCACTATAATAGGCATAATTTGCAACAATGTACTGTTCCTGGGAAAATCCATTTCTGTCCTGGTTACCGCATTGATTGCAGCTAAATACAAGGGAAACAGTGGAGCCTGTTGGCTGGTGTGTATATGACATGGTGATGTTTTAGTCCCTGCTACCTGGAAGATCCTGAGGCATTGATGCTATGACTCCTGGATCCATTACTCACTGGAGGTGGCAGGACCTCACAGGCTTCATTACAAGGTTCTTTAATTCCTCTTTAATTCCTCTTTTATATAAATATATTTAAAAGTGGAAACTTCAGGGCTTGTTTTTTCTACAAGTACACACAGCTGGCTACCTTCCAGAAGCACAAATTCTCTAGCTAGAAGCATACTTTCCATTGCAGCTCACAATACCTTCCTATCTTATGTATCACAATGAGGTATTTTTGCCCAGTTCCTATAAATAGAACACTCAACAAGTGAAGGGACTCCACAGTGGCTAAACCTGACAAAGAGCAAATGGCAATTCCAGACTGTACCTCCAGCTAGCCTTCTCTAATTTCTTACTGTAAGACGATATGAACTTGCTTAAGTAGTTTTTGTGCAGAGCAGTTCCCTAATATATTACTTTTTGCACATAATTTCCCCTGATGTGTTCACTTTCTGTACATTTCTTTTGTTGGCAAACTATGTCTTAAAATTCCAAGGAGGTAAAAAAAAGAAAAAGACAGAAAAATCAGATATATGCTAGTGAAGTTGCTGGGAATGCCAATGAGATCAGTGATAAAACTGAACACAAATTAATTTCTCTTCAACTTCACAACCTCCTACAACCCACTTCTCCCTCAAAGGCAAGGAGGAAGAGGCTTCTAAACAGCAAAGAGTCTTCTAAGGTAAAACAGTTCTCAAGGAAGTTAGAATCTTACTGTTAACTGCTTCAATCTATTTACAGAATCTGTGTGGATAACATAGTCCTTGAAAGTTACTGTGCCAAAATGTGTTGATGAGATGCAAAATATTGTCATTGTTCATACTTCTGTAAACCATTTATCTCTTAACATTCATTCTAAAATTTGTTTCTTCTTGTTGTGTTTAGTTTTTTCTTTGACTTGAAAGAGGGGTACAAGTTTTTTGTGGTCCTCCAGATGTCCTTGGACTGCACCTACCATAATCCTTCACCATTTGATATACTGTCTATGGCTGATGGGAATTGCAGGCCAACACCAATGGGAGGGCCAGTGTTCTGCACACCTGCTCTAAAGTTTATCTTGATGTTTAGGCACAAACATGCAGGAGCAGGTGTAGGAAACTGGGCCCCAAGCCATTTAGGCCTTTAAGGATCAAGAGCAGCTTCTCGAATTATGCATAGAAATGAATGAGAAGTCGGTGTAATTCCTTCAAGACTTATAAAAATGTGTTCCATTTGCTCCATCCATTTTTAACCAACTCAAGTTTCCAAAGGGGCAGCACTATATATAACTTGCTATAGTAGTTCAATCAAGATGTTATCAGACCATAGGTAGCAATAGTAAAGATTTCCATCAAGGACAAGGTATTGTTGGCATTCTGGTGTAAACTTGTGAAAGGTGCTCTGCATCTTGGATGCTATATGAGTCCAAAGACAGATCTAAAAGCAGTCTTATGGTGTGAACCTGGTCATTTATGGAGGTCAGAACATCAGAGACCTTTGGGTAGCATGGGCAGCATATAAGTTAAATAAATAAATAACACTGAAAACTAACATCCAAGTTAGGTGGGCCCCTAACATTTCTTCTTCTTTGCCTGGTCTAAATTTCCTCTTGGTGACTTTCGTCCAGTTCTTTGTTGATTTCAAGCACTAGTCTAGCTGAGTCTGATGAAAGGGAGAGGCAGAGTTTGGTACCATCTACATACTGATGACTCCCTCACTCTAAATTTCCTGTCAACCTCACTGAGTAGCTTCATGCAGACATTAAATAGCTTGGGGACAGAAACCATAGCATGGCCACTGTAAGAACCATATAGCAGGAACATCATATGTCAGAGCAGAAGTCATTCAGCAAAAGATTCTAAAATAGCTATCCAGGCTAGAGCAGAACCACACGTCACAATGCCTCCAGTCCCTATTCCTGACAGCTGGCTCAGAAGGTTACCACGGCTGATGGCATCAAGAGCTTCTGAGGTCCAAGGGAATTAGCAGGATCATACTCCCTTTGCCCTTTTCCCAACATAGGTCATCCAGCAGTGTTAAGTATCTAAAAGACAAATATCTCCCACATGTATCTGTCTGAAAACTAAGATCATCTTCAGAGGTCCTTCTCCAGATGTTACCACATTATCAAGATGGGAATATGATAACCAGCAAATTGTATTATGAGGAATGCTTTCAACAGGAAAATTCATCAAGTGTTGGAATCTTGCTGCCAGGTGAAGACTGTTTGATTTACCCAGGTTTACCATGTGTCAAATTTCATGATGTAGTAATATTAAATCTTTAAGCACTACTCTTCCTTCCTCTGTCTACATGTTCCTGCTTGCTGCTCTTTTAATCTAATTTATCTGACATAGGGTGTTTGGGCTTTTGGCTGCTTTCACTTTTCTAATGAAGCTAGAAAACTAGAAAGTAGCTTATAATTTTCCTGAATTTTGAATTTTAAAATGTTTTGAATAAATGAATACGCTTGGGGGTAGAAAGTGTAGGGTGCTTAGAAGTAGCACACAACAGCATCCTGTATGTCCTTGCCCAGCCTCTATAAAAAGCCATTGTATCACATGGAATTAATAGTTGCCATCAGTTCCCTCTCCCACATCTAAGATGAAGCAAAGCCCTGTTTTCCCAAAAGATAGGAGGCATCCTGCACGAAGTGCAATAAAGCAAAGAAAAACAAACAAATACCTCTAAGCCTAAGGCCTTGCTTTCCCCTTTCTTAACTGGGCAACTCTCTGGTACGTGAACCAAGCAGATAGACAATGAACATAGTGGATTATATTCTAAGAAGAAACTAGCAGTGCAGGATTCTTATTTCTGTTGGAGAGGAATAAGAAATAGACTGGGCCCAACTCAAGAACCCCAAAAAAACTAGGGCAGTCAGAGGCAGGTCTTTCAGGACCCTGGACAGAGCACAGAAAACTTGCAGCAACTGCTTGGCTTCAAGGATCCCTTAGAGATATGCTAGCCAGACTAATCCTTGAAGGCTTTACCTCCTTACTGAGAAGAAGACCCTAATGGGGATGTTCTGAAGACCACCATTCTTCTGTTTCTCTCCTGTTGCTAACCTGGGTACAGTTCCTATGTTAGTGAATGGATTCTGTGAAATAAGAAGTCCTTACATATGAAAATACTGCCCCTCTGAAGACTCTAGTTCAAGAGTTGTGATTGCTCAAGTTCTTGGGATATGGTAAGTTTATCCTACTTCTTCAGCTGAGGCTCAGTGTGTCAAGGTATTTGTGATTTCCTGTCTTGCTTTATCTTACCCCTTGAATTCACCTCCAGGTCACTGCTTTTAATTAAGCTTACAACAGAAATATGCCTGTACCTTTTAACTTAGATATAGGAAACAGCTGCCTTTGGTTGAAAAGCTCAGATTAAACCCTCTGTCCATCTTTTTTGGTATCCCTGATAGATATTTAGTTTGGAGACAAAGGAACTAGAAGCATTCAAAGGGAATGTATGTTCCAGAGTGAAAACTAGTGGGTTGGTATAAGGACATCCCTTCAGCTCACTGTTCTTCAGCTAAGTTTTCACTGGAATATTATTGTCACTGCTACTAATATAACTTTTACTAATAGTATTTACATTTCTATACAACCTTTTCACTGTAAGGTAATACTGAAGGTGGCTTAAAATTACCTCAAAACAATAAGAATAAATTTTAAGATTCAGTCACAGAACCATTGAAATCAGACAAAACTATGCATAGAAACACTGAAGCTAATTAACTTTATGGAGAGCTAAAATTGTAAGAATAAATTAATATTTATATATATTTTTAGGTAGTGCTGGAGGGTGGAGGTTCAAGCTGTGCTGCTTTTTAGCAGGTCCATAGGCGATCTTAAAACAGGCAGGACAAATGCAACTCCGAACTGGGAGCTAAGCTGCTCACTGCTTGGTACATAATCCACCTTGATTTTGCATAGCTTTTCCCTTTGAGACATCAACATGGACATTCACTGTCTTTATTCCTAAAAAGATATCTGTTTGTTAGAAGCAAGAGACTCAGGAAATGGGAGACTGTTGAGTATATAATGTCACCTTCCAGGAAACAGTAAGTCATCCATGGTACATGTAAAGTGCAGGTGCTAAAAAAAAGAGCTAAACCCAAGTTAAAGAATGCTTTGCTTCAATAAGAGGAGCTAAGGTAGCTGCCTTGTAACCTTTGGTCAATTTTTAAATGAAGAAATCACTGCTAACCATCTTCCACATCTTGCTGAGCTATTCCACTCACCGGATGTTTTCGTTGGGTGCCTTCCCATGCTTCTTGATGGCAGCACACTCGTTCTTGTGGTTGACCCAGGCATCCTTCTGGCAGGTCCTGTCACAGTAGTGGGCAAATTTGCACTGGCCACAGCGATGGAGTTTCTCGTGCCGTTTGAAGCATGTGTGGCAGACAAGGTGGGTGAGGCTGAAAAGAAGGAAACAGAATCATGAGTAGCCAGTAGTGAAGGGCACCTGAGTGCTCCCTTGAGAAGATACCACAGCAGATTCTCACAATGTACCAGGGGAAATCAGGAAAAGAAATGCTCTTCCTTTTCCCTTCCGAGGCTTGTCGAAGGCTGGAGGAAGAGGCGGAAACTTTAAAAATGGTTTCGGACAAACCTCTGCAAACGCCGATTGCTGCGCAGAGAGACCCGCATGAGTCCTCCCATGGTACAAGGTAAGCCCCAGGGGAACCCCAAAGCCGGGGCACATGGTTTCAGGGCACCCCCACCGGGGTTCTGATGGCTTCCCCTGCACCATCAGAGCCCTGGCAGATGACAGAGTTGCGGTATTACCAGGATGCACCAGGTGGTGCTAACCAAAAGAACTTCCCTGAGAGATGAAGACGCCAAGCAATAGAGAAGTGTTGATAGCAGAATAGTTGTATTATTTACAGGATATATACATACATGTACAGCTTAGTCCTTGTTTCC